GAGATCCCCTTCGGTTAGCACCTTGACCACTATCTTGCACATATCTTTGGAGACAACCTCTTCGTGTTGACTTTTCAATCTCTTGTTTCAGATTGTGACAATCATTCATATGGTGACCCTTCACTTTGTGATACTTGCACCACTTGTATGCATTCATTCATATAATGTTCCATTTGAGCAGGTTAGGTTCAGGGAGAATTTTTTTATGACAAACCTCTTGTAGAATTCTTTCCAGCTTTGTGTTCAAAGGGGTGATATATTCACATGGTCTTCAATTTGTCTTGAAAGATGCTTTCTTCTAGTTTTGGGCATGACCCTTATGCCTCATTTGTTCTCTAGATCCCGAGTTTGACAATCTCTATCTTTCGTATCTTTTGATCCCTTCTTTGCATAATTTTCTTCACCTTTGATGTAACACTCTGCTCGCACCATTATTTTCTCCATTGTTGTCGCTGATTTTTGAGCCAAGAACTCAATAAAATGCACCGCCTTGAGACCATTCTAACCCCCCCTGTGGACATGTCCTAACTGGGACTGAAAACCTTAATGGTCTCTTCTTTAAAATGAGTCAAGTATTCTTTGAGAGATTTGTGCTGCTAGTAGACATTGAAATGGCTCATAGTAGATACCAACAATTTACACTTTAACGAGTACGTACCTTCGATGATGACCATCTGAGTGTTGACAGTTGTGATGTGCTCATGTAGGTCGCTCTTTCCATTGAATGTGGCCATCAGAGGAAGTTTTAAATTCTCTAGAACTTAATCCTCCTAGATTTCCCAAATTAGCGGGTAAGGATCGATGAGAACTTCCAAGTCATCATGTTTTGGTTAAGGGTGATGTTGATTCTTCTACAAGGTGTGAATGCTACAAGTCATCATCTTCTGGTTAGGGGTAATGTTGATTATGCTGCAAGCTCTGAATGCTACCCTACAACAATTTGTTTTGTTGTCGTAGGTTTCCCACAGCAGTGAGTTACTTCTTCATAGCAACCTGCAATTCTTGATTATTGTTTCTAACCCTAGTCGTGTAAGGATGACGAGTCCGTTGATTCACAATTTTGTGCGGGCCATGCAAATTTTATTAGAGTCCCATAGTGGACGCCAAATGTTCACACAAACAACACTACAAAAGAGTCATAGTTGGTGACTCTTCTGCTTAAAGAATTTAGTCTCTTTTTTTAGTTTGAAGTCTTTCCTTTTTATAGTGATCTCCTTACCCTGATATGGGAAAAGGAAAGCAGAGGCAATTGAATGTGATTCAATGGTCATAACCGCGAATATTCGTTCATTATGGGGGCTTAAGAGACATGGTGACTTCATAATGATAAATGCCCATACTCTAGATGTCTTGTATAGCCTCTCATGGTGTATCTCGACCCAGACTCGATATATACCTCCGTGGGAGTCTGAACTCGCTTAGATCCGACCCACTATACCTACATTTTCTTACCAATATTTAAAATGTAATATGTGTGAATTGATTCACAATATGTTATTTCTTTTATTGAAGATTATATGTGACATTATAGTCCCATTATATGACATATTTGCTCCTTAATATCTTTAGCGTTAATTGTTAATGTGATTCACAAAATGCTATTTTTCTGATCGAAGATGATGTGTCAGATTACGCTTCTATTTTATGACATATCTGCTCCTTAATATCTTTAGCTTAGATTTTAAAGTAATAATCACTCTTTTTGTTGGATCAGGATTTGCTACCTTTCAACTTTAGTTCCTTTCACGCAATAGTAAAGACAACAAATCTCCTCCCCTTTTCGTGAAGGAAACAAATTAATATATCTTTAAATTTTACAATTAAATTTCGGTAGTCCTTTTGAAAATGGATAAATGTAATATATTTATATTTGTAAATATTATATGAGTTATATTATTTTACAAGTTTTTTACTTGAACATTATCTTTTCCCTTTTCAAAAAATTCCCAAAATTTACTTATTTGATTAAACATTAAAATTTAATATAGAAGGATAAATTAGTGTACGAGCTTAATCAAGTTCATAGGGCTTGGAATAGGAGGATAAATCAATTTCTTATTCAACTTGAATTGAAGAAATTTAGAGGGGAATAAGGAGTGTATGTAATAAATTCTAACGAATCAAACCTATTTGTGACATCTGCCTTGAGAAAATGGACCTACTTCCTTGATAAGTAATTTGTGAACATAATAATACCGCATCAACAAAAATATGCACAAAAATATGCAATAAAATTAGGGTTCTCTTGAAAGGTTGAATGAGTTATGAATCCAGTTTCAAACCCTAGAAATCTTCCCAATAGAGAATATTTGTCGAGCTATCGAGATTGATCAAAACCCTCTTTACATTCCAATCTTGGATCTGAAGGTTAATTGTCATCAAGTCATCTTCATGGGGGATTATATCCTCATTATCCCTCTAAAAAATTTGACGATTAGGACGAGGGCCCTCGATTTTAGTGAAAGTAGAATTGACAATATCATTACTTGTCGATCATATTTCTTCCAAGACGAGCTAGATTCTCCATCGCTCCTGAACCTGCCAATGATTGTATTCATAATGTGTCATGGAGTACTCTTCCTTCACTCTTCTTACACGCTCTGAGCCCTCTTGATCGGAGAGGTTTTCCCATAGGTTCTTGAGGTGGAGATCCCCTTCGGTTAGCACCTTGACCACTATCTTTCACATATCTTTGGAGACAACCTCTTCGTGTTGACTTTTCAATCTCTTGTTTCAAATGGTGACAATCATTTATATGGTAACCCTTCACTTTGTGATACTTGCACCACTTGTCTGCATTCATTCACATAATGTTCCATTTGGGCAGGTTAGGTTCAGGGAGAATTTTTTGATGACAAACCTCTTGTAGAATTCTTTCCATCTTTGTGTTCAAAGGGGTGATATATTCACATGGTCTTCAATCTGTCTTGAAAGATGCTTTCTCCTAGTTTTAGGCATGACACTTATTCCTCATTTGTTCTCTAGATCTCGAGTTTGACAATATCTATCTTTTGCATCTCTTGATTCCTTTGCATTATTTTCTTCACCTTTGATGTAATACTTTACTCGCACCATTATTTTCTCCATTGTTGTCGCTGATTTTTGAGCCAAGAACTCATTAAAATGCACCGCCTTGAGACCAGTCTAAAACCCCCTGTGAACATGTCCTAACTGGGACCGGAAACCTTAATGGTGTCTTCGTTAAAACGAGTCAAGTATTATTTGAGATATTTGCCCTGCTAGCGGACATTGAAATGGCTCGTAGTAGGTACCATCAATTTACACTTTAATGAGTATGTACCTTCGATGATGACCATCTGAGTGTTGACAGTTATGATGTGCTCATGTAGGTCGCTCTTTCCATTGAATGTGGCCATCAGAGGAGGTTTTAAATTCTCTAGGACTTAATCATCCTAGATTTCCCCAATTAGCAGGTAAGGATCGATGAGAACTTCCAAGTCATCATATTCTGGTTAGGGGTGATGTTGATTATGCTACAAGGTGTGAATGCTGCAAGTCATCATCTTCTGGTTAGGGGTAATGCTGATTATGCTGCAAGGCCTGAATGCTACCCTACAACAATTTGTTTGTTTGTCGTAGGTTTCCCACAGCAGCGAGTTGCTTCTTCATAGCAGCCTATAATTCCTGATTATTGTTGCTCACCCTAGTCGTATAAGGATGACGAGCCCGTTGGTTCATAATTTTGTGCGGCCCATACAAATTTTATTAGAGTTCCATAGTGGAGGCCAAATATTCACACAAATAACACTACAAAAGTCATAGTGGGTGACTCTTCTGCTTAAAGATTTTAGTCTCTCTTTTTGGTTTGAAGTCTCTACTTTTTATAGTGTTCTCCTTACCCTGATATGGAAAAAGGGAAATAGAGACAATTGAATGTCATTCAATGGTCATAACCGCGAATATTCGTTCATTATGGGGCTTAAGAGACATGTTGACTTTATGATGATAAATATTCAGACTCTAGATGGCTTGTATAGCCTCTCATGATGTATCTCGACCCAGACTCGATATATCTCTGTGGGAGTCCGAACCCACTTAGATCCGACCCATTATACCTACATTTTCTCACCAATATTTGAAGTGTAATATGTGTGATGTACACAAACAAATAGGTAACAAAATTTGTTTGTCTTTTAAAAAAACAAACTCACTTGGAGTTATGGGTACATAAAATTTACTTGTGAATGTGATTCACAATATGTTATTTCTTTTACTTGTGATATGTGACATTATACTCCTATTATACGACATATTGGCTCCTTAATATCTTTAGCGTTAATTGTTAATGTGATTCACAATATGCTATTTTTCTTATCGAAGATGATGTGTCACATTAGGCTTCTATTTTACGACATATCGGCTCCTTAACATCTTTAGCTTAGATTTTAAAGTAATAATCACTCTCTTTGTGGGATCAGGATTTGCTACCTTTCAACTTTAGTGCCTTTCACGCAATAGTCCTTTTGAAAATGGATAAATGTAATATATTTATATTTGTAAATATTCTATGAGTATATTATTTTACAAGTTTTGCACTTGAACATTATCTTTTCCCTCTTCAAAAAATTCCCAAAACTTACTTATTTGATTAAACATTAAAATTTAATATAGAAGGATCAATTAGTGTACGAGCTTAATCAAGTTCATAGGGCTTGGAATAGGAGGATAAATCAATTTCTTATTCAACTTGAATTGAAGAAATGTAGAGGGGAATAAGGAGTGTATGTAATGAATTCTAACGAATCAAACCTATTTGTGACATCTGCCTTGAGAAAATGGACCTACTTCCTTGATAAAGAATTTGTGAACATAATAATACCGCATCAACAAAAATTGCATAAACTAATCTCAGATCCAGTACAATAAGAAACACACAAAAAAGGCATTTATTAGAGAGAAAATATAAAACAAGAGATCCAGTAGAATAAGAGACATCATCCATGAACTTTAGGTAAGTTTCATTACTCAAACCAAACTAATCAGAGGTTAACGATGGTGGGCTTATAGTCAATTATAATGACTTTGTCCAAACAAGGAAGAAGCAAATTTGCATACTCAACATGTTTGGGATGAGCCACATACTCTGCAATAGCTTCCACACTATCAAAGCTTGATTCAAACACATGAGTAAAACCTTGGTGCAGGTTTTCAGCACTAACATCCGTGCCCCTATATTACATATATCACGATTATTAGAGTTTCATAGATCTAGATCTTACAATCCTGCAATTTTGATTCATTACAAACTATACTAATATCGAAACCTGAAACAGAAAGGTTGAATGAAATTGTAAGTTCGTACCAGTGGAATGACTTCATGGATGGGATGAGATTGACGAGATTGGCATAGCCTTTGATGAGTTCGTCGGTTCGTTCTTGACTGATGTCGTCCTTGAACTTTCCGATGACTATGTGTTTCACTCTTCCATCTGCTTCTGCCATTTTTTTTCTTCCTTTTCGTTCTCCACCTGTATTTGTCTAACATCAAATATTGATCCCACTACCTACACGATCGCATCTTAGGATATCTTGTATAAAATATAATGCAAAAGTATACCGATATTATTTTAAATGAATTTAAATGATTATAACTATTCAATTATATATTTTTTTTTTATAAATAAAATAAAAAGCAAACTTTTCAAATTAATCAACGGTTTAAAACCGTCGATATATTTCAATTAAATTTATTTTAAATTTAGTTTAATCTCTTGGGAGATTCGTAACTTTATGTTTAAAATAATTATTTCATTAATAATACACTATTTTAAAATAGTTATTATTTTCACTTTTCACTTTTTATTATAGAATTAAAATTTTTCACTTTTTATTATAGAATTAAAATTAAATATATTTAAAGTTTCTCTAAAGTTTGATATTTCATTTTTCGTCTCTTTAAAATTTTTTGTTAAAGATTCGTTTTTGTAAAATTAAAAATTTTAATTTTTGGTCTCTTCTGCAACTTAACGATAATTTTAACAATTTAATGATTGAATTAACGACGAAATTTAACGATAATTTACTACTTAGCGACTCAATTAACAACGATTTTAACGATGTTTTTAGCAGAGGAATCAAAAGTTAAAATTTTTAATTTTAGATAGACGATTCTTTAACAAATTTTTTTAGAAAGATGAAAAACAAAAATGTCTAACTTTAGATTGAATTTAACATATTTAATCTTAGAATTAAAGACATTTCTGTAAGTTTTTGTTAAAAATTATTTTTATTAAAAAAATTATAAATATTAAATATTGTTTTAGATATTTCATCCTTTTGTTATAATTTTTTTAAAATATTAAAATTTAAAAAAATAAGGCTTAAACTTGAAGTTACTACAAATTATTTTTCATAAAAATAATTTTTTAGATATATATTTTTTTTAAATTGAGATTTTAACTATATTATAATCTTCAATAATATATATTTATATTATAAGACGTTCAAGGCTATTTGTGTTTTGAAAGAACTTTGGATAGGATGTTTAAGGCTATTCATGCTTTTCTGCTTGCTCTTGTCAAATGTTAAATGCCTCTAAATCTATTGTTTATGTTGGTGTTATGTCTAAAACTAGGAAATCTCAAATAACATCCTAAGTTGGTTTCTCCATTGGTATCATTCCTTTCATATATTTGGGTTTACATATCTTTTTGGAAAAACACTTCCAATATATTTTGGATAGGATCAAAATCAAATTGAGTATTTGTGAGGCTTTCACTCTTATTAATGGATGATAGAGTTGAGTTAGTGAAATCCATAACTTATAGCATGTTAATCTATTGCATACAAGTGTGTGCCTGTCTTATTAGTTTAATCAAAACTCTTGAATCGTGGATGTGTAATTTCATTTCGAGTGGGATATTGAGAAGAGAAATTCCATAATGGTTGTTTGGAAGAAGTGTTGGAGACTCTTAGAGGTTGGTGGCCTTGGCATTTGATTGTTATCTACTCTAAATCAAGTTGCTAATATCAAGCTTTGTTGCAACACTCTCTTGTCCACGGAGCGGTAGGCTCATAATAAGTGTAAATTGTAGTTATTTTTGTATATATTTTTGGTTGTACTTATTGATTCTTTGTTGTTAATATAGGTTGAATAAACTTAACTTTTGTGTAAATATGTTTAATTTATGTATAATACATTTTTGTGTACATAGTGTATCGTTTGATAGTTTTGTATTCATTTTGTAGGTATTTGAGCATTGTTGGAGCGAGAGGAATAAAAGCTTCAAGATGCATTTTTGGATCAATAAAGAAATAAGGCCAAGATGTGAGAGCCATTTGAAGTTGTTCAGAGGTGGAACCAAAAGTTGTTGGGTTGATGTGCATCGTCGGGCGATGGTCGGGCGAGGGCTATCGTGTCTGCGTCGTCGGGCGACGGTGGAGCAAGAGGGGCCAATTTTCCAAAAGTTTTTGTCTTGCTTCGCGTCTGTGTCACTGGGCGAGGAAGAGTTGTAGCATCGGGCGACGTGAGTCTGTCGCTGGGCGAGAGAAGATATTTCTGGCCAGTTGCATGTGGGGCGCAACCTTGACCAAGTGTATTAGAGTTGTCGTCGGGCGACATGTGTTGTGTCGTCGGGCGACGGTCGCGGAACATATTTTGTTTATATTTCCTTTTCATTTCATTTTGTAAGGTTATGGTTTTGGGTATTGTTTTTGATCTCCCAGCTCAATCAACCTCATTTTTATAGTGGATTAGCTTAGATAACAACTCTGGAGCTTGCATACGGATGATCCGGGGTGGATTTCTCTTCGATCATGTCTGACAATCCAGAAGATTTGCAGTTCATTTATTTTCTTCTTTGTGTATTCTCTTTGGTTGGGTTTGTACATGTATTTACTTTAATCTTATGTATATTAGTCGCCCATGGTGTTATATTTAATTTGCTTTACAAATCTTTGTGGGTTGTTATCCTTGATTTTTTCTCTATGCTAGGGATTTGGGTTGTTATAGACATATAATGCTCGAATTCTTATCTTGGATTATTGTCTAATAGTTTCTAGATTCTAGAGATAGATTTAGTGATATTATTCACTTAGGGTGTATGTGATTAATGCCTTTGTGTTGGTTGTGTTGGCTGAGAGTCGTTAACACGAGTGACACGGTTGACTTCTGTGTTGTTGAGGTGGTTGAGAGATTTCTACTGAGGTGATACATAGGGTGTTGTGTCTAATATGTGATGACATTGACGTCTATTGTAGGTTGAGTATAATTGGTTGATAGGTTTAAGTCTGTGAGGAGTGGATTATATGCATGCTTGATAAGTTTCTTCTTGGAACAATGGATTTATTTTCTTATCAATAGTTTTTACCTTTCCTTACATACAACCCATTCAACCCCCATAACTCATTAACGAATGATTTGTCGAATGGAGAATGATACTAAACTTTATGGACACGATATAATATAACTTATATCACCCGGTAAAATTAATTTTTTATTTTTTGCTTTCCGCTTTACCGCTCCAGTAGCTCTCTACTCAAAGACTGGGTTTTGAGAAAAAAGAAATTATCAAGCACAACATCTCTTCCTCTATCTAGAGCTCTGAAAAGTTACTCTTCTCTATTATCATGTAAAACTCGACCTGGAGCCTTGGAAATGGTAACCAAATTAACTTTTGTCTCGATTCTTGGTGTGGACCACCTTTGGCCCAAACTCTGAATTTGATTGTCTTAGAAGTAAATCTTATCAACAAAATGGTTTGTGACTATATTATTAAGAAGAATTGAGAGCTTCCTCAAAATCTTACTACCGCATTTCCATCCATCTTATCCATCATGTCTGCTTGTCATATACCAGCGAGAGATTTAGAGGACTCTCGTGTTTGGTCTCATGTCAACTCTGGGTGCTTCTCCCTCTAGGATGCCTACAAATTTGGTTCAAATCATGATCCCAAGGTTTCCTGGCATAGACAATTTTGGAACTCAAGGACACCTTCTTCCAAATCTCTCCTTTTTTGGTGTTGTATCTTCAACAAGCTTCCCACTGATGAGAATATTGTCTCTCGATCTTGTTTTCTTCCCTTTGTTTGCAGTTTGTGTCACAAGCATTGTGAAACCACACATCACATTCTATTTGACTATGATTATGACATTCACATTTGGATTTGGTTCTCATTGATTGTTTCCGGATTTCTAATTATCAACTTGTTTGAGTACTGCTGGTACATTTTGAAGCAAGATTGGTCTGAGCCTTGCAAAATGATCTTATCAGCTGCCATCATTCAAATTGTCAATGAAATTTGGTTTGCTCGAAACCAAGTTAGATTCAAAGACATCTTGGTATCTTGGCCTTCTTGTAGGGATTTGATCATTAATAACTTAGCTCTTACTATTTTCCCTCATATTGCCAACACCAATACGCGAGAGTTTGTGATTTTCAAAGACCTATCTCTTAATCTTCATCCATCAACTCCTCCTCACATCAAGCACATTTTGTGGCAGCCTCCTCCATTTGGTTGGATCAAGGGAAATTCAAATGGTATGACGGTTGGTACTCCTCTCTTGCAATTTGTAAGGGGATTTTCAAAAATTCAAAGGGTGGTCATGTTGGCAAATTATCCAACTTCATTGGAGAAGGTAACACAACCACTTATGAATTCATTGATGATATGATGGTTGTGGAGCTCGCTGTAAAAAAAATCGGACACATTTTTGGCTCGAATGAACACCTTGCTTGGCGTGCAAGCATTTTCTAATGCTTCTCTTGTTCCTTTGAAGTTAAAAGCCCGCTGGTAGGATTGTACAAAGCTTATTATCTTTATGCATTTCATCATGTCTCACATCTTTAGAGAACAAAATGTTTGTGCGGACAAGTTTGCTACCTTAAGATTCACTCATTGAAATTTTTTTTGGTTTGATCGTATACATGATAACGTTAGAGTAGACTTTTTGAGAAATTAGAAAGGAATTCCTTGTTGTAGATATCATATTTAAGATAGATGTCAAAATTAAATTTTCAGTTTATATAAAATGTATTTAAAAAAATATTTATAGAAATTATTTTTTAAAATTATAAAAAAATCCATTTTTTAAAATGTAAAACTAATGGACATTATGTTCCTACACAGCCTCCGATTGAAATGACATAATTGGACATTTTCACGGTATTTAAGCAAGATTTATCTATAGTATATATATAAGATTTTGTGTATTTAATTAAAATAATGTTTATATTTCACTGAGATTTTTCACACAGTTCATAAAATATATTTTTGCATTCAAAAATATAAAAGTATTTATATATATTGATTTAATAATCTCACTCAAATTCATAAAACTTTATGAATATTTTATTTTTTATCCACTTTATTTATTTATTTTTAATATTATCAACACTAGGGTTGTTTGCAATGCGGTTTGGGCGGTTTTGATAGAAAAAGTCATCTGAACAGCGAGAGAAAAATATATGTGGTTCGGTCTAGTTTGGTTGGATCTTAGAAATA